GGCACCAAGAGGCCCCCTTGACCGCGGCCACGTTCATCTCTTGCCGTGCTGTAAATCTTCACCCGTTATGCAGAAATTAAAACCCTCTTACAGCTCACCATCACCTAGCCAGGGTCGGTATAAAGCAAGATAGACTGAGGACAGCACACAGGACCCTACCATTTGCATTTTTGTCCATCTACTTTCTCGGAACTGCTGCGTCCGCAGTTCACTGGAGCGCTACGAAAAGAGATGGGCTTCATCTATTTTCTATTCCCTCTTGTTTTCCCATTTGCCAGAGCTCCCAAAGGGCTAAAAATCTACATAAACCAATTGCACTGTTGGGTTTCTAATGCCACCACTTGAATTCAGGGGATCGGTTTCCTGAGCAAAAGCAGCACAAATTGAAAGCCAGCCCAAGGCACGCAAATGTCTTGCGTTTCTTACAACCACCCTTCTTTTCACTGCTAAACCTACACAGCTTTGGGATCCCAGAGAGGCTGAAGTCTTATCGTTAGCAAATAAGCATGTTCCCATTTTCATTTTCTCTCAGTCCCTTGCTCATGCTTCTGTGCGACATAAAACCCAACACTGGTCATGCCATAAGCATGCCAGCTCTATGTCCAATGTGTAATTTAATTTGCATTCTACTATACTCATTTTTGAAGTGCCTTTTGTTCATTAACTTGTTGCTCAGGCTGAGAACCTCATTAAACCCACAAACCTGCCGCGGTGTCAAGCATGCAACACTGTCACAATGGCACCAGGCAGCAGGGTTTAGCCCAATTTGCACTCTTATATCCAGCTTTTTATCTGCATCTCTTTTATATTCAGTGGTGCAGCTGCACAGGCTCAGAGCCATGTTCTAGACACAGTACGCTACAGACACAGCAACAGCAGCAGACAACATTGCCTAACCCCATTCACACCTTTACACTCAATTTGTATTCTGAATCTTTCAAAGTTACCTTTAGATTGCTTATGTCACGGTAATTCGTGCAACCCCTTAAAAGGTTGCAAGGACTGCGGTAACTCTTTAAATACATGAATAGGTAGGCTATTTCACTATCTCCCTTTGTGATCCTGGAAAAAACACCTGTGAATTCTGCCATCTATGCATTCAGAATCTAGCAAAGGTATCTAGTGTATGTACTGCACTAATATTCACAGGGTCTGTGTAGCATTATGAGAGCGTTAACATCTCCAAAATACCGTGGATTTTGTGTACCTGTAGATCAAAGGTGCTAAGAATCATTTGCTTTTGAATACTGTGAACCAGAATACCTCATCTCTTAATCCCATCTCTTATTTAAGATTTATCAGTTGTTGATGTGGAAGTGCTTACTGAATAGGACATAAAGAGTTTTAATTTTATAGGTGGAGAAATGGATGCATGGAGCGGCATGTTAACTTTCAGAGTCAGGACTCTAAATTAGTCCTTTCCAACACACAGCTTAGCTCAGTTCAGAGAAATCAGCCGTAACCCCTTAACCTACTTGCCTACCCATGTCCACTCCCAAGAACAAAACACATCTCCATTAGGAACATGAAGTTCCTATTTTGAGTCTGCTGGTATAGTTAAATGAGCATATTTGTAAGTGAATTGAATACAGCAGGAAGAGGAATTTTAGGTAGGAGGCCCTACGCTGCCTCCATACTCAAGACAGATGGAGAGAAAGGCTCCTTTCAAACAGCACTTAGGAGAAGATGAATAGCCTAGTTGTTCCAAGCTGTTGTCTGGATGGGTTCCTTTCTCCAAGGGTAAGGGAAAGAACTTAAGAACCTACAGCTGGATGGCATTATTAACAAGTGAGCATATGCTCTTGCTTAAATTATTGAGCCGCTTTTGTCCATTCCTTCCCTATGAAATGTTATTTCATAACATGTACTAGGCATTGAATTTAAGTATTCGGCTCTAGAATCAGTTACATATATATTTATAAGACACCACGGTGTTGCTGAGTGATGTTAGACTAGAGCTCAGCTGTAGACTAAATAAAGTCAGCCTTAGGAAGCAAGAGCTTACGTTGACTTTTGCTGGTGTAATTCAATATATTACCAATCACCATTTTATTTAGTATGATGAAAACCAAAAGTATATCAATATACTGATATGCTGTGTTATATTACTATTCAATCACAGTATTAGTAAAAAATATGTTTTTAACACCTTATTTGCTATTCTGAACATGTATTGATGTTAAGTCTATCTTCTCTGAAGGCTTCTGTCCCCAACCATCTGTTTTATACCAGACTTCAAGAAATCCAGCATTACGCTTATCTGTCCCATCTTCCCCTATCCCAGATGAGCTTTCATTTAGATGAATGTCCCACATGTAGCTTAGAACAAGTCAGTTTTAAGCAAACACCTAATCAGAAGTACAATTTGATAGATGCTTATACCTGTAATACCTTCAACAAGTGTTACTTTCATAAAACTTCAGTTCATCAATTTTTTTTTTTAAAGAGACAGTCAAAACAAATTAAGATATACTTTGAAATGCTAGAATTCAAGCTGTATAGAACAAGCAGTGTAGACGAGGTTAGCTTGAGGTGTTCACTCTTTGAAAAAGTACTTGGAGAAAACAGACCCTGATGTCGGTAAGAATGTTCTCATTTTAAATTAGAGACGAGTTTTCTTATTTAGAAAATTAAAAGCAACTACTGCCAGTGCCAAGAAGTACCCCTCTATGTAATTCTTCAGCTGCCCATTGTAGTGTTTTTAAATTTTGCTTTTACATACATTTGGTACTGACCTCCGACAACAGCATATACAACTAGAACATGTCAACTTCCAAAGAGTCTTAAGGCTTTTAACTGTGTGCAGCTGTTTCAAAGTTATACAGCCAAAGTCCAGGAAGTTACACACCTAGCACTTCAGCCATAATAATCTTGTGTTCTAGCTGTAGTCAGAGAAAGGAAGAAAATGCTGCTGTTCACTCTCAGGCAACTTTAACCTGACAAAGGTTAAGGAGCCTTTTATTCAAACAATGATTTCCAACATTCTGCTCCAAATCAAAATGCATGTCTCCTCTGTGTCCAGTGACATAAGCTTAAGTCAGCACTATCAGAGAAAAATCACTATCCAAACCAAGAAGTTATTTTCAGCTGGGTTAGTTCTTTGCTCCAATCTAACAGGCAAGACACCATTCTTGCTCTGAGCTGTACTGGCAGTTCTCAGTTGCATGGTCTGCTTAAAGACATGTCAAACTCATTCCACAGTCCACAGCATTAAATTTTACCTGAATGTTATTTTTATGCTCCTGTCCCCTTCCCCCAGAGCTTCAAACGTATATAGGCAAGATTTCAAGAGATCAGTATTTAAAAAGCAGAAACTATCTTGGATGCAATCTTGCAACATCAGAAAGCTTCAAAAATTTCTAAAGCAGAAGTCTTGAAGTACAGCTAATTATGCTGAAATCCAGTAACTCCATCCTGCAAGTCTGTGCAGGAGAGCATGCTCTAGAGGAGCAGTCTCTCTGCTTGAGGAAACAGTTGTCTTCAGCTGATGGCAACCTCTGAGATAAAGATTGTAACAAGACACCCCATTAAGTAACTGCACTATGCTTCTTCATTTGAGGAAGGAGTCTAGTTCCTGCTGTATACCTTCTTTCTCCCCAGCTGTATGCAGCTTCTGGATGCAGGTGGTCTTATCAGATATGAGATGCATCAACTAGATTACTGACATTCAAGATTTTAACTACTAACTGCCACACAACCCCCTCCATTCCATTTTTTTCAAAGAAGTGTAAGAGGACCTGATCGGACTGGAAAGGAAAGCACAAAAGGGTACACTAAAAAGTTGTGGTACCATGACACAGGAGAGAGAAAGCCGTGTGAGTTAGGTAACAACCCTATACCTACACTTAAGCTCCCTTCCCTGTTTAAGCTAAGTCTGTAAATGTCCAAGGCATCTTTGGACAAAGTAAAACCAACTTAAAAATAGAAAATCAAAGAAACAAACTCAAATGAGTTCATCTGTAGTTCATAACCTGAGTGGAGATAAAAGAACTCTGAAGAATTGAATTAGAGACTTCAACTATTAAGTAAAAAAGAAGCAAGTAGAATAAAAATGTCAATTCATTTGATCAAACATCTGTTGAAGCCTTACTGCAAATATCCTACTAATTTTTTGCCAAGAATCATGTGGCATTTTAGGATGTTCTTGTGATTGCATATCAAAACTATACATGAAAATATAAGCAAGCATCCAGCTTCTCATCCAGTCAAAAAGAGCTTTTAATACACGAGTTTCAAACTTACAACTCCCATGTAGCTACAGAGTAACCGTGCTCCTCCTATGTAGAAAACAACTTTTCACATCCCCAATATGGAGTGCTAATACATCCTCGTCGTAAAAGGAATCAATAAAAAATAAATTCGTTAATAATTCATTTCAAATTCAAATAAGTTCCAGCACTTCAATAGAATATGTCTGACAGTCTTTCTGGTGGTTAAGTCTTTGTAATTCTCGCAAACTTCCTTCAATCTTGTTGAGTTCAGAGTAGAATCGTACCTAAAAACAAGAAAACACAGATATTTACAGCAAGGTAAATTTTAATTATTTTCATAAATCACTGTACTGTGGAACTAGCTGTGGTTCTGCACAGGTTTAGATATTTAAACCAAACAAATCTAGCAGCTTTTGAAATCAGAATGAGAAAGAGAGGCAACTGCCATTTCATGCTCAGGAAGGAGCATACAGAGGAGAACAGACATTATTTGACTTACTATACAATATTTTGTTGTCTGCCCCCCCCTTCTTAACATCCATGTTCTAAATCCATACTAAAATGAAATTATTATTGCAGACAACGCAACTTACTTGGGCTCTCACAAACTTATGCAGACTTGAAAGCAACTTTTTTGCTTCTGGTAGCATCACCATAACTGTGAAGTGAGCATCAAGTAATAGGCACATCCAATCCATAATCTGAAGACAAACAAGAAGAGTACACTTACACTTTGTGATATGCAAATGACACAGATTTTGCTTTAAAAGCTGAACTCTGAAACATCAACTTCTAATGCAAAATGTGGGGTTTCATATTGTCAGGCAGTATATTTATTTTCTGATAGTAAAAAGCGTTGTGTTACATCTGACTTCATACAGGTTACATTAATAGGCAATACTTCACAGAATGAATGTAGATCTCAGTTGATTTTAGATATTCACAACTACTCACTAAGTTACACACCACAGAAACCTAAGGAAGTAAAACTCTTAGAACCAGCTTCTCACCTGATTTATAGTTGGAGAGCGTATTCCAGGAAGAGTGGTATTAATTTTTTCACTGCATTTCACATACAAGTAGTATAAATACCTGAGAAATAGCTAAAAGTAGAAAAGTCAGAATATTTTTAAAGGACAAACATTTAATAAACTGAGGTGTTTTGTCCTGTGCACAGTAATACTCACAAGGGTTTTTTTGTAAAAAAAATTTTTAAGCAACACAGATGCCTGTATACTGCATATTAAAATAAGTTTTAAGGTTCTCCTACACCATCTATAGCTACGTTTGAAAATTCTCACTCAACAATATTCAGTGTAAAGTTACACTGAATGGTAATCATTGTTCCAATGATTATGTCAGTGCAATTTACGTTGGCTTTTTGAATCACTGCAAAGCCACATATATGCTCAGGTACTATGGTACGTGCAGTTCTTGAAATTGTATTTCAGGTTTTGAGGGACAGGGAAGTGTGGTTTTTTTTTTTTTTAATCTAAGAGGATCTGAGATTGAATACTCGAGTTTGATTTGCATTACATTTGGCGTTTTACACAGGTACAGTTTGTTTCTCATATTTTCTAAACTTCTGTTTCTGATGGAACTGACTAAATTAGCATGTCTCGCTCCTTTCTTAAAAAGCATCCAAATGAAGAAAAGGTACTATACTTGCTAACAAAATATGAACAACATTTTTCAAGTAGACTGGGTTGTAAAGAGGGCTTCTTTCTTACATTTCCTAAAATAAGCAAGGACTATAAAAATTAATAGAAGTTCCATATTTATGTGGAAAAACGTGACATTCGTTAACATTAAATCTCATTAGGCATCATAATTTCATTGTCACGCATTAGTTTGTGATTGAGACTCCAGTAAGAGTGGCATGTTTCTGATACAGAATTGAAAAACTCTCTTCCCTTTCCCTTCCCCCAAAATATTAAGGGTTTTTAAACTTTTTAATTTTAACATACTTACAACAGCTTGCTGTGCTGGAAGGTTTTTCAGATGAGGCAAAAGAAATGTGTCACTGTAAGCCGAATGGAGAACAGCATTTCTGTGTAGTACTATTAAGGAAATAAAACTGCAGGAAAAAATACCAGTTTCTACAAACTGAAGTGAATTCCAATTAAAATATTTCTCTAGGTTCTTTGAGAGCGGTCCTATTTCAGCTTTTTGAATCTCCCTTATTTTTATTATGAAAAACGTACAGCAACAGAAATATCACAACACAGTTAACTTGAACAGTTCTGTTTACTGCAAGTATGTAATTGGCTACTGTGTTTCAACAGGCAAAGATCAAAATCCTTGCTGCTCTTTTCTCTTGGATAGACAAACTTTTATTACACTTTTGCAATAATGTAAGTTTAAATTGGTGTGGATGCTTTCTAGAAGTTCATTGTTTCTATTTATATTCTAAACAATTTTTTGACTGCATAGGAACTTCTCTTATCAGAACTTCTCAGAAGTTTTCAACAATAACAGAAGATACGTCTTTTAGTAATACTAAACGTACACATTCTCATCCCATATAATGCAGACTTTCCTTCATTAAAACATAGAGAGGATACAATAATGCTGCCTTCTGTGGTCCAACAGGGCAGAATTCACCATCAGCCATCAGATGGGTTTCCTTTGTGAATTCAGTATCCCAGATGTCTTGTTCCAGCTCTGCATTGAAACCATTTTCTACAATTTCAGTCTTAACTTCTTTATCGTTGAATTCAATATCAATGTAACAGATTACAGATTCTAGATTCACATCTATTCTTTGAAGATAGGCTTCACTAATGCTGTGGAAGAAAATTCCAGACATTTAATACTTTTAGTTATTAGCTTTAAAATCAGCAGTGCCATCAACCCAACGGTAGTACACACTGTGAACTCTTTGAAGCTTACTATGAAAGTAAAAACATACACTAAAATATAGAGTCTTGCAGAATGAATAAAGGCCATAAAAGAGCAGTTAGTATTTTGTAATTATTAACCTTGAACAATACACATACTGCTCTTTTATTCGAACAATGTAAGTTACTGTATTATTAGACATTCTGTCATGGGTTGATTTAAAGGTTATACCCCATCCAAGACTGTTGTTGTATTCTGACATTAGTGGGACTGCTTCAACCCATAAGACATCAGTAATAAAGTATTTCACAATTCTAAGGTATGAAATTAGCAAGATCTGATGTTTCTAAGAAAAAAAAAGAATCCTTGTTGCTCTGGAAGCCTAGAGGAATAGTTACAACAGTCTCTTCTTTTGGTTACAGTGCCTACCTAAAACTTCATCCTTTTTGGGATTGAAAACCATTTTTGTCGTGAACTTGCAAGAGCTGATCTTTTTTTGCAGGCTTCTTACCTCAGGGAAGTTCCCCATTAAGTCTGTTGCACAGTAAACAGATAGCTGTAACAATGAATACAGAGGTATGCGAGTGCCATTCAAGCGGCAGTGTTAGCAAAAGGTATGTTCATTTAATTACCATTTACATAGTTTTTAGAATTAACATATGCAACAGACGCCTTGTAAAAAGTTTGTCAGTCTGCAAGACTGCAACATACACTGCATTCAGAATTAAGAACTTCATGCAGAGTATTAATTGCTCGTGTATAAAATTAAAGCCATTCTTGGCAACATACAGCTTTTTATTAAGGGGCTTGGTTTGGCGAAGAAGAAAAAAAGAAAAAAAAGAGTGATTCCAACTTACCTTAAAAATACTTTCAAGCAAGCGTAAGTAATTTCTTCAGGAATATCTGGAAACCGTTGTAGGCAGATTTGTAAGAGATGCACATCTTTTTTCTCCAAAGCAACAGCCATTAAATCTGGACATAAACTGTAAGCATATGAAGAGAATAGGCTACATAGTTCACACCCACCGAAAACTACATTCACAACTAATGCAGAAGTATTCATCTTGTTTTACAAAAAAATCCATCTGACAAGTGTCAGCTTCATCAGAAAATAAGCTTAGGCACCTTTGATAGTAAATTCCGATAATTCAGGAGTGCTTTATGAAGAACTGGATTTCTACTGGTTTTAATTTTTAAAAACACTTCCTGACAATTAAAAAAAATGCAGAATCATCACCTGTAAGACAAGTCTCGCGTTTGGACTATCTGTAGCAGGAAATTTCGAGGGTAGTAATTTGGATTTGTTTTACATCTGTTTATAAGGGCAGTTATTACACATCCAATGGTGGCTTGGAAATCTGGCATCTGTGCTTTTGACATCAGTTGTCTCAATTCATCTTCCAATACAGTTGTAGAAGCGTCCTGAAAAATGACAAATACTGCGCAACTCAGAAGCACAAGGCATAGGTTTGAGAACTGTACTGTTACTAATTAGAACTAAGTAGAAACAGACTGATTGTCGAATTCAAGCTAAAAAAATTTACAAAAAAACCCCTCACCACTCTGTGTTTTGGTAGTCTCTCATCACGAAAGAGCCAAATGAGGGCAATTACTCAACTCTGAACTCAAGTAAGCAGTATTTTTCAATAAGTGCTCGGGGATTATTTGCCTGTTACTTCAGTTAAATTACCAAGATGCCCAGCCACAGCTGAACTATAGGTACGTTCACACAGGAAGGGATGCAACTTAAAATATCACAACACTTGCAGCAAGTTTTAGAAAGGAACTAAACAGCTTACTGCTATATTTGCAGTGGAATTCCTAGCATTCTGGCTTTCGAGATCGAAAATGTCTTCAACAAAATTAAAGCCATACATAAGAATCTAAAAAAGCTTAAAAAGGCAGAGTTCAGGTGAAATACCCTCCCACCTTATTTACTGTAAGAGAAGATTTTCATTAAAAATTAACAAATTTGTGCAAGTTTTCAGAACTCAGATAGCTATTATAAACCCCGGATTGTACAGTTCTAGAACACACTCCTATGACAAAACTTTAATTTCATCATGTCCAAATACTATTCTAGCACAACAATAATATCCTCCAACTCACCCGTTTAAGGCAGCTTCGTCAACTTGATATGTGCAAGAGGACATGGAAAAAGATAATAGCTTAAGAGACAACTAGAATATTCTGAGAGTGTCTAAAACACTACCTTAGGATATTCGGTTTACTTACTTTTAGATTTAGTAAGAGCTGCCCAACTGATAAGGTATCTGGCTGTACTTCAGCAGTGTTCCTTTTTGATCTTAACTGTTTTAAAGAAAAACAGAAAGTTATTATTCAGCTCCAAAATGATGGTATATATTTAACGATTTCAATCAAGATAACTAGGAACTTCATGTGTCAACTTGCTGCACAGATTACAGTTACTAACCAGGCAGTCCAATTCCAGAAACAGCATTAGAAGCAGTAAGTGACAAATACAAAGTGAAATTTCCTTCTGCTACAACACCTACAACTAAAAGCAGCAGGGGAAAAGAAAAGAGAAAACAAAAACCTCACATGCTCCTGATGCTAACTTACGGTCATTCCGGACTCAGATTTTAGAGCTACAGACTGCTGTGACTGAAGGGAAACCACCAGCTCTTCATCTCCAAGGGTATTCCAGTTTACAAATGGGGACACGTCTGTGAACACAAAAATGAAACTATATGAAAGTAACACTTAAAGCGCATTTATTGAAGTATGAGTATTACATCAACTTCTTATACTAATAGGTATTTTCTAAAGTATAATTCAAGTCATTTCCTGCCAAGAAAGTTTCCAGTTTTATCTCAGCAGCAGGTAATTTTATGATCCTTTTTGCGTACTGTTTTTCCATTTAGCCTCTGGGCGGAAGAGAAATAAGTTATTACACAATTTACTGTGAGCATAACTTGCAACAACATTTTACCAGTGCAATGCTAAATTAAAGGCACTATGACAATACTATTTTAAACTAAAGTTTACAAGCTAAGGTTTGACATTGCCCCATCTAATCACAAACTCTTTGAAAACAATTTATAGGAGATAGCACTTCATTTTGTTCTCAGTATTCATAACTGGCATTCCAGTATTTTCAGTAATTCCCATATTTGAATGACAACCCAGTTTAAGTGAAGCTACAATTAATTCAGATGTTTGCGTGCTTCCGTGTTCTCAGCAACAGTAAATTTAACAGCTAGGATCAGAATACACTGTTAGGGTACTTCAAGCTGTTTAGATTCAATTGATTTTATAGAATGGTATTAAAATATTTTTTATACAATTTCAGAAGTTTTCCTTTTACAAGATCTTTTCACTGTAATTATAATAATTCTTACCAGGGGTTTGACTGTCCTTGAGCTTTCCCACAGCAGCTGCCAAAGATGATGTTTCACACTTGTACATAATCACTGTTAGCACTTTCCCGTGAGTAAAAAAAAATTTTTCCTCATAGCACCACAACTACAAAATATTAAAACATATCGTTAATGAAGCAGAGCAGAGAAGCGTGTTCCTACACAAACTGATGTTTAACTCCTTACTACAAAATTCAACTAGAAAAGTCAGTGATCAGATTATTTGACATTATTTTTTGTAGGTTTTACACTTGTTAGCAGACCTTCATTAACTGTTGATTTGAAATACAAAAATAAGAAGTGTTCTGTTGAGGATTTTCCAGGGATGTCTTAAAGTACAGCAGCTGCTCTGAGGCATTAAGTCCTCTTGATAATTTTATTTTTTAAATTCCCTCTTGTGCAATTTTGTGACAAAAACAGTCAGCTGTTCTATTTCACTAGTACATATATTACTTAGGTGTCAGTTTACTTAGCGTTAATGGACACCTGAACATCTCGAAATGCTATTTAGGGAGATGCAGGGATCATTTAGGCAGTCAACTGCAAATTGTCTGAACAGAATACATACTGGCTGGGTTCTCTGTTTAATGAGCTATTTCATCCTCACCAAATAATCAAGGCCATCAGAAGTAAGAAGGTACTGAATTATCAAAGAAATTGCCATAAGCCACCATCCTCCCACTAAATGTTCTGACAAAAATTGCTCATCAACTGGTCAATATTAATTCTGTTTCAGAAGCTGGCATTCACTGCTCTTCCAGACGGAAGCAGAACTCTGAAGCCCACCAGTCTCTTCACTCCTATCATGCCAAATGCACAAAGCTCATGGACCACAAATTAAAGACTGAGCTTACTTGTCCACTGGTTCCCAGGGGCAGTTCCTTTAAAGTTTGCAATGTCTGAAATTTTGTATTCCATATTGTTAGGCACTCTAGGGAAAATAAGAGAGAGAGATGTTACAACCCCAAATGGCAACACAAATGCTACATTTGCCTTTGCTACTTTCAGTTAAAAACACTTGAAGAAATAGCCATTTCAAAATAGCTCAATTAATAATGTATTCAACATTAGGAATTCAGTCATTCTGGTTAGACCTCAAGAAAAATATCTAAAGATGAGCAAGTCTTCCAGTGAAGAGCTTTAAACAAGAAGCTGTGGCAAGACAGACAGCAGCCAGTGTGGCTTCCAGTCAGGAAGAACATTTTGTCATAAGCTGCTATGTTCAGTGGCTTAAATTTCAGTGATCCCACACTTCAGACGTTTAGGCATAAGACTGAAGTGTTTGTTTCACTTATTTTAGGCACTGATTTCTTAGAGGACATTAGGCCTCTTTAACTGCATAGGTCTGTTTACAAATGTCCAAGTCCTCCTTTTAATTCCCCTTCATCCATGAGTTCTCTTGCTGCATCTTCTCAACTGTTCCACAAACAGCATGAAAGCAAATACAGAAAACACAACAGCGAGCAGAGTCCTGCAACCCACTATGCAGTCTACTGGTAAAGGTCACCTTTCGGCTAGCACAGCTCAACTACGTACTAGTTTCAAGAGCCAACTAACATTTTATTTGCACTATTTCATGCTTAGTGCTTTGCCCAAGGAAATTTCAGACCTTACGACATCTTAATCTGATTTTTCAAGTTACCTTTGGATTCTTCACCAGATGCAGCCAGACTTCCTAATACTGCGATGTGGTCTTTATCAACAACGACGAAAGAAGTTCCTTTCAGAACACTTCCAGATACCGAAAGGTTTAGCAGCAGTGATTTGGACAAAATTTGCTCTTCCTCTTCAGTATTTTGATGCAGAGGTATCAGAACCTTGTACACGGAGTCATTGGAATCTGTCAAAGAAAAGCGATGACGCTTATCATCTGTTATTGTGGAAAAACTATTCGATATGATATGGCAAGAGGACACCCAAAGAGAACAAAATCCAGTGAGTGCTAAGAGAAGAAATAATACAGGATATTTGAAGGACATATTATGATGCAAAGTAGCAAAATAAAAGTATAGCTAGCACAAGGTCTGCAAGGTACAAGTCAGGGAACAGTCAGCCTTTCCAACTATTAAAATATCAGGAAGATTTAATTACTACTCCTACCACTAGCTGTTTTAGAAAGTTTAAAGAGCTAAAAATATTAAAGAGTAATTTGTAAATATCAACATTTTATGACCTTCCATACAATTCTTTGCTTTATTATCACATCCCATTAGAAAATAACTTACACAGACACAGAAGTGTGATTATGTGATTTTTTATATATGCCGTGAAATTCAGCGGTTTAGATAATTCCTGTTGTTCAAGCTTGTATTTGTGTAGACTATTCATCTTAAGTTTCTGTACGTAGACAAAAAAATCCCCATCCTAAAACAAAAAAGAAAATAAAGTTTTCCTTTAATTTACACAAAGAAGAGATAACAGAAATTCAAATATTAGTACTGCTTAGCTTTGAATGTTAAGCAAAATTAGGAATTTGTGTTTTCTATAGGACATGCAGCCTAATTCAGAAAGTTTTGCAGACTCAAGCACGTAAAGAAAATTCTAATTTGATGGAACAAATGGATTCACAAGAAGCACTTGAATAAAGACAGATTCATGTACAATTCTCTTTTTTTTAAGCATAAATCCTATTAAATAAGTTCTTCACAATGAGCAAGTATTTGAGGACAATGAAGAGCCACACAATTGTCTACTGCATTTAATCTTAATTGCTCTCTGAAGTTCTAAGAGCCAGGCTGCTCTGCCCCAAAAGCAACACAACTTCAATTTAACTGTTATATCAGAAACAATACATATATAGGACACTGATTAAATCAGGATAATGATTTCACTAAAAGCTCTGAAAATCCAATGAAACAGGCGATGGATTTTAGAAAAAGCACTTAGATTTACCGCTATGAAAGTTTTTTTAAAAAAGTATTCAACTCACTTTCTCAGTAGCGAAAATTAAGACAGGATATTGACCTTCCGTAAAAGCTTCACTCCACCTAAAAGCAGAAAGTCATATGAACGTCTTCTAAATTCTAGGACTACACCTAAAGTCATATCACTATTCCTTTGGCAGCCTCTTATTTTTAGGATATCTGTATAAATAATTTTAAGATTTTAAAACCAACATGTTGGAAAAAAACATCCAACCCCAAGATACCGGTCTTCAGATTTCTCCCCTACCCCCCTCAAAAAAGGGAACAACTGTCATCATCGTCAATTCCTCTGAGCAAGAAGCAAACTTCATAAAATTGTATCACTTACTTGATGACTTCGTCTGAGATAACGTTTTCAATTTTTTGTTGTGGGGCTTCCAAAAGGACATCTAAAGTTCGAACACCACCTCCTTTGAATAGTACCACTGGCCCTCCATTGGGGAGTGAGTGTATTCTGTATACATCAGCTGAAAGCTGTACAGAAAAAAAGACTTTCTATGTTCTTCAGTACATTACCTTGAAAGCCAAGTGGTTTATATGTGATTTTTTTTAAGTTCTTTCAATAAACGAGTAACAGAAGAACGATGAACCTGTAAAATTCCTAGTAACGTAGGCCTAGCAGTTGCCAATTTTTTGAAATGCTATGAATATCGCAAATCACTACCCAGCAAAAAGCCAGGAAAGCATCCCAATGAGCATCCCATTTCTGAATCACATCAGAAAAAACATAATTGAGGGTAAGGAGTTCAAACAACTGGTATACAGCGTAACACAAAGCGCTGTTTAACGCATCCACCAGCAGAACAGAAAAATCTATATTTGAACATAATTCACCATCTTTAAAGAAAGCCCTCTGAAACTTTGGACTTGGGATACGAATCATTTTAAGAGCAATACTTTGATCATCAAGTGTCTCAGTCCAAGTGGATTCCTTGCAATATTCCAGAACATCATGAAGTGCAAGTTAAGACTAGTTAAGTCAGCTAAACTGTAATATTACTAGTACTATGAAAATTAGCATCTCTTCCCTCCAACCAGGATTCAGAACATTAACATAAAAGTGAATGCACGTAAGAGACTTACCGTTGCTTTAAATACTTTGTCCAAGTTAATATCTTTGTTCTTCCATATTCTTAAAACCTTTAAGAGAAACATCATTTTTAAGCACAGTAAAACAGTAAATATAGAGACTTCTCAGCACACAAAATACCAGCATTGCATGTCAGTGAAAGACAGGAGGAAAGTATACAGAAAGTATTCACAGTAACCTTAGTGGAAACTGACCCAGCAGGGGAAGAATCAGGAATGCAAACCAAGCTCAGAAATCTTGAATTGGAAAGAAAGGATAGGAAAGAGTAAGGTTAAGGAAAAAGATACAGCAGAATTCTAAATGAAAGTAGATCAAAGTGATGGAGACAGATTAAGACACAGATGACCTGATCTGGAAGAGAATGTTTCAAGAAGAACAATGAAAGGTCAGGAAAGATATTTCATCAACAACAATACAAAAAAGCCAAAGGTTCAGCATGTGCTGAGCAAACACTACAAGTACACAAACAGAAAACATTTAACTGTAAAATATGAGCAGAAAAACAAGGATGCAGGTATGAACTATTTTAACCATTTCAGTACAGTAATCATGCAGCTCTAAATGTCAACCAGTCTGCAACAAGAGAAATAACTTATACTTGAGAAATAACTTATCCTCAGAGAACGTATGCATGAGGCATTCTTCACGGAGAATGCTTCAGTTTTTAAAAAGCCACTGCATAACTGGTGCTCAGCACAGGTGATCTTCATGTCACTAAGAACACACTGGGCAGCCGTAGAAGCACACATCCCTGTCCTCAAAGAGCAGAGATGACCTGTGCTGCAAGAGGGTGTTGAGAGCTCCATGCATTTACATTTAGCCAAAAATCTAGCACCGCCGAGTTCTTCCCTACGTGCATTCACTCAGAAGACTCGCCACGTCCTTTTTGCCTTTAAGAAAAGATAAAGGATCTCACCTTGTCATTATGAACAGCTATATATTCGTGAGTTTCAAAGTTGCACACAACTGGACACGTGATAATCTGCCCATGTTTAACTGACCAACAACCTAGTGGCTTGTGATCTGAAACCTAGAAGAGTCAGAAGAAAGACACTGCAATTAAAACATAACGTGGTATGCTTTGGGGATTTTCCTCCTGACAGAAAGGAAATGCAAGGTAGCCACATCTGATTTGAAGGAGAATATTAAAATGGGGAAACTGCTACACTCAGAACTTCTGCTTGAGCATTCCTGTTTCCGACTTTAACACTAACAATTTCAGAATAACATGAAAGACCTCTACATTAATTAGAAATTATTTGTTTTCACATAAGAAATAACTTTGACCTGTAACAGTCAGATGGGCTTATGCCAGGGAGCACGGGTATGATGCACGGCTTTTCCACAGCGAAGCTATTATTTTCAATCACTAGCGTCAGCTACTTTTACTCACTAACACAATCATGCACAGAACCACACTTTTCCTATTTCAATGTAAGTTATTAAGACCAAGAGCAATGAACTTCACTGTCGAAACTCACGTTACGTACGATTTGCATTTGGCTGCTCTGAGGGTGCTTGACCCCTTCTCCTCAGTCCAGATCTACCTTGGGCATATTTACCAACATATTTATGTTCTCGCGTATGGTCTGGGCAGTGGGACTACACAACCCAGAGGAGGTTGTACCATGAATCCACTAAAATACAATCCCTAGCCCCATGAATATGAAAATTAATTAAAGATATAAATCCAAATATTTTCCTAAAGTTTCTTATTATGCCCTACTGAAATATATGCATACATTGAAATACATGCTTTTGGTTTCAAGTGCTGCAAACTAACTCTTTCATCCTCCACCTGACAGGAAGGCAGCTGACACACAACTGACAGCCGGACAAAACGCCCATCGCCCTGGCTACTGCCAGGAAACGTTACGCACCCTGCGGCTTCGGGACAGAAGCGTTTCTTGGAATGGGGAATGGAGAGAGAAGAAAAATCAGCAAAGGGAGAAATACGGGAGCAACCGCCCAAGCCCACACCCGCTCCACGGGCGGGCAGGCCGGAGGACAGCGGGAGAGCGCAGGTGGGCCG